CTCTACTAGTAAGACAAAAATTAGCTGGGCATGGTGGCATGCGCCTGTAATCGCAGCTACTCAGATGACTGAGGGAGGAGAATCGCTTGAACTCGGGAGGCCGAGGTTGCAGTGAGCTGAGATTGTGCCACTGCACTGCAGCCTGGGTGACAGAGTGAAACCGTGTCTTGAAAAAATAATAATAATAATAAGGGTGATAGGCCCTGTCTTGTCCTGTCAGCAGTTTCTGTCTGTGTTGTGAGGCTCAGGAGGGTATAAGTTATTTGCACCTGAGAGGATTCCCCAGGCAGGAGGCAAGGCATATAGCTTGAAAAAGTCCATTCCATATAAATGTCTCTATTGTTTTTGTGATAAAATCTGCAAGAAGTGTGACTGGATCAAATCTTTTTTCATGAGGATACACAAGGGTGCAAAAGCATTGTGAAGGGGAATGGACTAGAAAAGAAAGCATCAACATAAATTATTCTTCCAAGTAGGACAAGTTTACAAATGCCCACGACTTCCATGCAGGCATCAGAGAAGGAAGCATGAGCTGCTTTCATGGAGGCTTAGTAGGAAAAATTTTGAACCTGTATTTTGAACCTGTAATTCCTGCTTGATTTTTCCACCTTTTTATGTGATTGTCTTGCTCTGTCACCAGGCTGGAGTGCAGTGGCCTGATCTCAGCTCACTGCAACCTCCACCTGCTGGGTTCAAGTGATTCTCGTGCCTCAGGCTCCCGAGTAACTGGGACTACAGGTGCACACCACCACACCTGGCTAATTTTTGTATTTTTAGTAGAGACGGGGCTTCACCACATTAGCCAGGCTGGTCTTGAACTCTTGACCTCAGGTGACCCACCCACCTCAACCTCCCAAAGTGCTCAAAGTGCTGGCATTACAGGCATGAGCCACTGCACCCGGCCACTCATGGATTCATTCTTGCATTCCAAGTGTGTTTGAGCTTCTCCTGGGAGCTGGGTCTCATGCTGGGCACTGTGCTGAGTGCTGAGGAGACATGGTGAACAAGATGAGCATGGCTCCTACCTTCATGAAACTAACCATCTAGAGTGGAGAGAAAACATTATAAATGGGATGAATGTGCAGACGTGCAAGGTGTTGTGGGTATCTGGTCTAGGAGTATTGATCGGGGACAACTTCCCCTAAGAGGTGATGGTTAAGCTGAGAACTGAGGCACAGTCGGGTTTGTAAAGTGAAGGACAAGAAACAACTGACCGCTTTCTTTTTTGTCACAGAATCTCGAATCCTGACCTTCTTAGAAACCTACCTTGCCTCGGGTCATCAGAAGCCATTGCCCACAGTCCCTGGGGGACTCAGTCCAGTTCAGAGAGAGCTGGAGGAAGTTGCTATTAAATTTGCTCGCCTGGTCAACTATAACAAGATGGTTTTCTGTCCCTACTATGATGCAATCCTCAGTAAGATCCTCGTCCGATCCTAACGTGTATGCACCCTACAGCAGCAGTATTACTCACTAGCCGCAGAATACCTGTTCTCAACTCTAATGTTGCATTGGAAAATGGCTATATAGTACATGTCTATTTAACAGCACCGATTCCAAAGGGAAGAATATTGTGTATCACTGTTGAAAAGACTTGTTGAAAAATCCAGTGAATTCTATTTTGAGAGATTGTATTTATGAGTGCAAGTTTACAAATCAAAGAAGCTTTTTGTTCTCGAGTTTTATAGGTAACACTCGGCTGTGTCTCCACTCCTCCCCCATCATGTCCTTCTAAGGAGGCTCTTCTGCAATCTGGGTAGTTCTTTCAGATGCCCCATGCTGAGCTGACAGCCATCCAAGTGCAAAAGAGACCAAGCCATGGCCTCACCTCCTGCCCTCCCTCGGACAGCCTTGTCCCTCACCCCTCCCTCCGGGTAGTTTTGTTAGAAGGGCTACAGAACGTCTTATTGCCATTTTCTCCCCCTATTTATTGCTTCCTCCCTGCCTGGCCTAGCCAGGGCTCCCAGGCCCTTTTTTCTAGAGGAGAGTTATTTGTCTCTCTCTCTTTTTTCTTTTTTACTTTTTAAAAAAATATTTAAACATTCTTTCTTTTAACCGTCCCCCAAAGATACAGAGTTATTGGACTTTAAAAAGCTTGTTATTTTATACAAAATTACTCCTGCATCTAGGTGAGAGCAGTTATGACTTATGAGATCTAGTGAAAGGAAATTATTTGACTTTTAAGCCTTGAAAATCAAGGAGGAAATATTTTGGAAAATACTTTACTGTAATGTAAAGGAAGAGAAATGTCTGGAATTCTTACTGAAAAATTGACTCTGAGACAATACGCAGATGTGTTGATTGAATTAAATTCTGGAATTAGATTTAACTGTTTTCAGATAAAATAGCTTGAGTTCACGAATCTCCTAAATAAGGAAGTCATAGAAAATCCCTGGTGTTTGAGCATTATTTTTCGAGGAACTTCAGTGACCGGAATTCCTGACATGTCCTCTGAGTGTGAGCTGAGTGTGAGTGATTTGGGTCGCATAGATGATCTGTTCTGTTTTTTGTTTTTTTGTTTTTTTTAAAGTGTACACGTGCATGTGTGCATTTTAGACAGGGACATTATATTAGAAGCAGAGCCATGAAACTGGAATGACCTCCAACTGCCAGAAAAGCAAGTAATATCGGCACCTAAAGCCTTCTGGACAGGAAGCTAAGAGAAACTTAGAAGCTGGCCGGGCGTGGTGGCTCATGCCTATAATCCCAGCACTTTGGGAGGCCGAGGCAGGCAGATCATCTGAGGTCAGGAGTTTGAGACCAGCCTGGGCAACATGGTGAAGCCCCATCTCTACTAAAAATACAAAAATTAGCTGGGTGTGGTGGCACGCACCTGTAATCCCAGCTACTTGGGAGGCTGAGGCAGGAGAATCACTTGAACTCGGGAGGCAGAGGCTGCAGTGAGCTGAGATCGCACCACTACATTCCAGCCTGGGCAACAGAGTGAGACTCTGTCTTAAAAAAAAAAAAAAAAAGAAAAGAAAAGAAACTTGGAAGCCATTTCAGAAAGACTCCAGGAAGGCTAGCAGTCGTTCCTACACAACCAGGGGGAAGGACTACATTTTACTGCAAGCAGCTGTTTTCTCTGATCCTTCTTTGTAAGGAAATGCAGTGATTTTGTGTTTTCAAGGAAGACTTGAAGAAGCAGTTGGGTAGGTATTCCAGTAGGACTGATGGGGAGGAAAGCAGATACTCCATGAGAAGGGTGTCAGACCCAGAAGAGTCAGAATACATTCTGCTTCCAGGATTTTTGAGATTGCTGATGGTCCCAGGGTTTATACAAGGACTTGGATCTGGCTGTAGAAACTCAGGTAGAAATTACATGTGTGCAGATCAGAGCTGATGTTGGTTCTAATCTATAATGATGTGATAAATTAAAACAAAAAACAAAACAAAAAACAGAGCTGGGCATGGTGGCTTACACTATAATCCCAGTACTTTGGGATGCCACAGCAGGAGGATCACCTGAATCCAGGATTTCAAGTCCAGCCTGGGCAACATAGTGAGATCACATCTCTACAAAAAATACAAAAAAAATTAGCCTGGCATGGTGGCACACATTTGTACTCCCAGCTACAAGCTGAGGCTGAGGCAAAAGGATCGCTTGCACCCAGGAGTTCAAGGATGCAGTGAACTATGATCGTGCCACTGTGCTCCAGCCTGGGTGACAGAGCCAGACTCTGTCTCTCCTCAACAATAAACGTAGAGCCAGATGTATCTTTTTGGGTCCCAGACAGGAGACTGGAGAATCTGGGTCTCTAATCTGGCAGACTGGCCGCATTTTGTGAGGGTACTTTTATTCGTATTTATTATTTTTTGTTTGTTTGAATGTGTGTTTTTTTTTAATAGAAAACATATCACTTCATTTGTTACAGCAAATGATTCAAGAGGGCCCCAGAAAGTTTTTTCATCCACAGAATTACAGAAAGGATAAGTACCCTCACCACCCAAGCCTTTGGTTCATTTTGTTGTTTTGTTTTCATCTCTGTTCTCTTACCACAATGACATGCTGCATCCAGAATGGAACTCTATGTTCAAGTTTTTTTTTTTTCTTTTTTTTCGAGATGGAGTCTTGCTCTGTCACCCAGGCTGGAGTGCCGTGGTGCGATCTCAGCTTACTGCAAACTCCGACTCCCGGGTTAAAGCAATTCTCCTACCTCAGACTCCTAAGTAGTTGGGATTACAGGCACGTACCACGACGCCTGGCTAATTTTTGGATTCTTAGTAGAGACGGGGTTTCACCATGTTGGCCAGGCTGGTCTCAAACTCTTGACCTCGTGATCCATCCGCCTCGGGCCTCCCAGAGTGTTGGGATTACAGGCATGAGCCACTGCACTTGGCCTGTCTTTAAGTTTTATACTAGTTATGAGGCTAGTCTATCAGAATGTCCCTAATTTAGCTGAGGAACCTGGACAAGTCTTCCTTGATTTCAGCTTCATCCCGTGGCTGGGGGATGGTGTATCCCAAGGCCCGTGAATGTTTTCTTTAAAAAGCTGCAGGCGAATGAGGTAAAATGAACAGAGACATGAGACATGAGAAGTCAACAGAAGGGCAAAGAGTATGGCTCCCACAGCTCTTCCAAGGCCAAAAAGGCAAAAAGCAGTGTAACCACTACATAGCCCTTGGGAGTCCATGCCTTTAGTTTCTCCTGTAACATGAGCCACAGGACAAAAATCTGGATGGCAAGTGTTACCATGATGGAGACATGCAGGGACTGGGGAAGGCGTGAAGCCAAGCCTCCAGAAGCCAAGACGGCCGTGTTCAAGGATAGTTACTGGATACAATGGATACAAAGGCATCATTGGCACCATAGTTAAAAGAGATGAGGTGGTCTAACAGCATGAAGAGCAACATGGCCTAGAAGGTGTCAGTGCTGACAGACTCTGGCAGGGTCTTAGCACTGGTGAAAAGCCATAAGTGAAAGTAATGAAGACTAGGGCACTTTTCAGTTCAGCCCACCGGATCCGCCCACTCTTCTGCCCTTCACTTCCATCAGTGAGCTCAAACAAAGTATACCCGATCAGTGAAGAAGCCAGGACAGTCCCAACAAGCCAGTGGGGGGCCAGAAGACCCTCATCCATATGCCACCAGATAACCAGAAACACACAAATACTGCACAGCTGCAGGATCAACACACTGGACTCAAATACTACAGCCCAATATTGGTATTTCCGAGCATGGATGTTTTTCCGGAGCTCTTCCAGGAGCTGCTCTTCCAGGAACCGCCGGTCCACACAGTTATCAGGAAATGGCTGTTGCTCATACAAGACCCTCTGCCACTTTACCTCCTTTGTGTTAGTTACAGGTTGGGCACACATTATCCTTTCATTCAAACTCAGGCCAGTTTAATCATCCCTCTCATAGAGGTCCATGTGGTTCTTGTTGATGACATTTTGAAATGAGACCTCCCTGGAAATCCCATGTCTTGGTTGATATTCTACCGACCTTTCCTGGTTTTCAGAGGCAGCAATCCAGGCCAGGCCTACAATAGATGAGTTTGTCTCTGAGGCAGGATAATACAGCCAAGTTCCTGCCTGAGAGTTCCTGGGCATGCGTGGCTGGGGGATGGCAGTTGCCCGCCTTTTTCCTTGTAAGGGTACTTTTTTTTTTTTTTTTTTAGATGGAGTCTGGCTCTGTCACCCAGGCAGGAGTGCAGTGGCACGATCTTGGCTCACTGCAACCTCCGCCTCCTGGGTTCACGCCATTCTCCTGCCTCAGCCTCCTGAGTAGCTGGGACCACAGGCGCCTGCCACCATGCCTGGCTGATTTTTTTGCATTTTTAGTACAGACGGGGTTTCACTGTGTTAGTCAGGATGGTCTCAATCTCCTGACCTCGTGATCCACCCGCCTCGGCCTCCCAAAGTGCTGGGTTTACAGGCGTGAGCCGCGCCCGGCCGTGAGGGTACTTTTAAAGAAGATAACATCTTCCATGGTGTATTCAATGAGGTCATGTCTGGAATTGTTCCCTTGAGGTGGAGGCTGCTCTGTGGCCACTGTGCCTGGCGGTTGTATGATCCTGGGTTCCTGGGCTGAGAAGCCTCAGCCTCAGAATGTTTGGGGCCTTTTCGTCCCGCTCCAAGACTGAAGGAGAGGAGCTTACCCCCAACTGCACAGCGCTGATCACCACTTCCTGCAGTCATTCTTCCTAAATCTCAAAAACTCTTCTTTTTTAAGAGTAGATTCTTGCAAGGTATTTTTCCCCTCCTGAGTTCTTACATTGCCAGAGTTCCATTTGTACAGTTTGAAATCTTGAGGCATGAATAACTGACTTCACAGATTCTCTTGGCCCCCCACTACCTCGGTGTCCACTGGTGGAATTCTGCAACTGGCAAAAGTCAAGAATGAAGGAAGCAAACTTCAGAACCACAATATTCATATTGAATCATTTTGTTGTTGCTCTATGAAGATAAGTAAGCTAATTTTCTTCCTGGAATCTCATAGGATTATTACTAAGGGCCAGGGAGATCCGCTTCGTTCATTTAGTCACTCAGGAAGCATTGCTAAGCATCCCCTCTACCGTCCCCTACAGCTCTCCTTCCAAAATGAAACATCCTTTGGAGTGTGCTGTCCTTCAGAATCGAATGGATTCTATATGCTGCATTCAGTAACAGGTTGTGGAGACAAGTGTCTCTTCCTGAAATTGCTAAGTGTATTTGGCAGTAGTACTTTACTACTTGTGGATAGAACTGAGAGTGAGGTCAGTATCACCAAGCCTCTTGGATTTCTTCAATAGTCTCATGGATGAGTGAACGTTTAGAGCAGTAACTGCTACTTTGTTGGCTCTTGGTTGGGTGGATGGATTCTCAGTCCTGGTGTTTTTAAAAATCTCATTCCGGCCGGGCACGGTGGCTCACACTTGTAATCCCAGCACTTTGGGAGGCTGAAGCGGGCGATCACCTGAGGTCAGGAGTTTGAAACCAGCCTGACCAACATGGCAAAACCCTTCTCTATTAAAAATACAAGAATTAGCCGGGTGTGGTGGCACGTGCCTGTAATCCCAGCTACTCGGGAGGCTGAGGCAGGAGAATCACTTGAACCCTGGAGGTGGAGCTTGCAATGAGCCGAGATTGCACCATTGCACTCCAGCCTGGGTGACAGAGTGAGACTCCGTCTCAAAAAAAAGAAAATCTCATTCCGTCTAAAGCAAGCTACAAAATGTGATTATTTATGTCACAATATGACTCAGCCATAAATGTACTTCAGGTAAGAAGCACACTAACATGATATCTTACTGATCAAATGCAGTCGGTAGATATATATGAATTTTTTTCTCTGTGAAGAAAAGCTATTAATAAGTTTGACTTAATAGGCCTATAGTATGCACATACTGGCCAAGATTCTAAATGGATTGTTCAGCAGTTGTGTTTTTGTGGAGGTGCTTATTCTCATTTCTCCAAAGCCTTAAGATTTCTGGGAATAGAGGAAATGTTGCTGCCACCAACTTTGCTGGTGAATTTCAAAGAGAATAGGTGTTTGCTGTTTGATTTCCGGTGACCTTTTGGCGAGCTCTGATGTATATGTAGAACATTTGTGTTTCTTTCCATTTTGAGGCCAGGTGGTAGAGTGGAAAGACTGGGAGCTGTCAGGAAACCAGGGCTGGGATCTCCACTCTGTTATGTACCAGCTGGGGCAAATCAGGGTCCATTCCCAACTCCTTTAAAATGAAAAGACTAGACTTGGTCTTTAAGCTTCCTTCCGATTCTAACATTTTGTGGTAGCAGGATTGTGCACAAAGAATTAGAGAAATATCTGGTTTTAGTCTTTTTTCCTCTATCGCCGCCTTACTGGTTGTACAACATTGAGCCAGTCATTCTCCCCAAGGCCTCAGTATTTTCATTGTTAATTGGGAACACTCCTAATTCACATTGTTGCTGTGAGGATTACATTTGGTAATGAATGTTAGAACGCTTTGTACACGGAAAAGGACTATACCTTTCTTTTTTAACTACAAAGGCGAACATGTAACCCCGTACCTGTAGGCGCACATCTGCTGTGGTGTTACATTCCACTGTTAGTGCCCAACCTCCCTTCTGTCAACCACATTTTACAGGCCTGTAGGGAAGGTTTTCTTCCTGTCCTCTCCCAACACTTGTTTACGTTCATCATCTCTTCTGTACTAGAGCTGCAGTCTTACGTTTGCTTACTTCCTGACATCCACCTCCACCCCAGTGATTTCTCCCCATCTCCAGCTCTATATTATTTGAACTAAATGAATCCATGAATGAACCAATGAGTGGATGAATGAATGGTAATGGATAATGGTCTATGAAGTCATATTTAAAGGCACTGTCTCATTTGTAAACAATCTAAATAAATAACTACAATGATATTTGCAAGTGTGTATCTATATTGGATTTTGCATTATATAATTATTTTAATGGAAAGTCTTTTTAGTCATAGTATTCATAGCAACTTCAAGGGCTGGGGAAGGGGATAACCTTTAAGCCCAGGTAAGCTCTGTTTATTAAACTATCAAATGTTCACTGGTACTTTCAGAAATAGCCAGAGTTCTACAAAATATGTGTTAAGTCTAAATAGATATAATTCTACTTAAAACTGTCCCTCATGTGGGTTTCTGTCACACCTGACTAACATTTATTACCTACCGAACTTAAGAACCAGAACTAAGCTATAGGCCTGGTTCGATGGAGTGTCACTTTTCTTGACTTAAAAGTTAGCTTAAAACAAGAAGGGCCGGGTGAGGTGGCTCACGCCTGTAATCTTAGCACTTTGGGAGGCTGAGACAGGCAGATCATTTGAGGCCAGGAGCTCTAGACCAGCCTGGGCAACATGGCTCTATTAAAAGTACAAAAATTAGCCGGGCGTGGTGGCATACACCTGTGCTCCCATCTCAGTAGGCTGAGGTGGGAAGATTGCTTGAGCACAGGAGGCAGAGGTTGCATTCAGCCAAGATCACACCACTGCATTCCAGCCTGGGTGACAAAGTGAGACCCTATCTCAAAAAAAATGAAGAAGGGCTGCACATGGTGGCTAATCCCAGCCCTTTGGGAGGCTGACGTGGGAGGACTGCTTGAGCCCAGGAGTTCAAGACCAGCCTGGACAATACAGGGAGATCCTGTTTCTACATAAAATTTTAAAAATTAACTGGGCATGGTGGATGGTGGTTTATGCCTGTGGTCCCAGCTACTTGGGAGGCTGAGGTGGGAGGATTATGCTGTGATCATGTCTCAAAACAAAAAGACTTCTGAAAATTTGTATTTTCTTTTGTTTTGATTGTTTTTGAGATGGAGTCTCATTCTGTTGTCCGGGCTGGAGTGCAGTGGCACAATCTTGGCTCCCAAGCTCAAGTAATTCTCCTGCCTCAGCCTCCCCGAGTGGCTGGGATCGCAGGCGTGTGCCACCACGCCTGGCTAATTTTTGTATTTTTAGTAGAGAGAGGATTTCACCATGCTGCCCAGGCTGGTCTTGAACTCCTGACCTCAGGTGATCTGCTCGCCTTCCGTGCTTGGCTGAAATTTTTATTAAGTAAAACATAAGTTCTCTTGCTCATTGTCATAGTCAAAGAACTACCATGTTTAAAAAAAAAAAAAAAGGCAGAATTTATGAACATGATGACTATGGTTTAATAAAATTGAACTCAACATTTATTTATTAACTATAGGCCAATACTGGGTTATAATATCAAATAAATTCATAATTATTGACCAAGGTCAATATACTAACAAAAATGGTGTTTTTTTCATTCTTTTTCATTGGTACAATTTGATTGTTCAGAAAGTTTACTAGTAGTTTCTATTAACCTTTTACTG